TGATAATATTATAAATGTGTAAAGAAAAAACCTTGATTTTTATATATTGTAGTAATATTTTAAAAGTTTCAACAAGTCATTTTAGAGTTTCAAAGCTCCTTCACTCTTAAAGTCTTATGAAAATTGTTCCATTCTTTACAAGAAATATTACAAAATAATAATAAAATAAGTAGACATATAAGCCTTCTGAAGTATACCAATGAGAGACTTGCAATTCCAAACCATTTAAATTTGTAATTATACCTTTTATTTGTCCCTATTAAGTTGCCCTTTCCTTATTTTGTAAGATTGTTTTAAAATTAGAATCTACCCATATTTTTTTTCTCCTATTTCACTTAATATGGCTTGAGAAGAATGATCATATATTAAGACATAATATAAGAATCTCTTTGAGTTTTGAGATTGATAGTTATATTTTTAGAGCTTTACAAAAAACACCCACCTACAAAGGAATGGATGTTTAAAATTAGTAAGCTGTCATAATTTTCAGAGAGGAAAAAGTTTAAATAATGAAGCTTGACTAAATGAAAGCCACCTAAATGATTCTCGTTCTGTTCAAGACACTTGCTTTCCAAATCCCTTGAACTTTCAACTTGCAGCTGCAGTACTTGGAAAGGCCTTCACATTTTAACATGGTGATTATGTGCACCTTAAATGATGCACAGGGTGCTCTAAATCTTTCATGAGAGACAACAAACTCCAGTAATCAACAGAGGAAATGAAACTCTCTAACTACTTTACTGGGTTGTATTAACCACATGGTTTCAGAGAGATGTAAAACAGAAACGTAGAGCACAGATCTTTGGGAACTTTGCTCTCGTTTGTTATCATGTGAATCTCGTTTCATCACTTCCTTAGTTTCTTTCAGCATTTTAGTAGCTGTGTAGAGTACAAACATTATGTCAAAATGCTACATTACATGCATTAATATATTAATTTTATTAATTCCACAAGTGGCATTACCTTTCACATACACCATGCATACAAGTTTCCAAAGTATTTGAAAGGTGAAAGGCTTTCTACAGCTACTTTTGTATCCTGGGCCACAGTTTAGAACTCAATCACTTGACATTTCAAGGGGAACGTGTATATAGATAAGTGACCAGGAAGGTAGCAAGATAAGTTATTTCTGGAGAATTCAAGTTAAGCTTTGTCAAAAACACCTAAAGCACAGTAATTAAAAGAAAAAGCATACCATTAACATCATCAGTGGTCAATAGTCCGGCCTTGTTGCTCTCTGAAATAAAATGCTTAGGAATTAGTGAAGTAGTTTATATTTATAATGATTATAATGGAAGAAAAGTGGGCAAAACATAAAAGGAGAGTGCTGATGAGCTAATTATTAAAAGCTATGCGCTTTCTATGTTTAATATATCTGTGAAAAGCCCATATGAATTCATTGTTGTGAATAATAAATAATTCTACCGAGATTCTAATCAATTAAAAATGCCCATGCCTCTTTTTTGTGTTTTGCTATTGGTAGTTAACTGAGAAATATAAACCAGAATCTAAGGAACAAAAGTACTAATTCCAGAGATTATATGGAAAGGTAAAAGGCCCATAACAGTCAACACAATATGGACGGATAAGAAAGTCAGAGGACACTTCCCAACTTCAAGAATTGCTATAAAGCTACAGCAAGCAAGACTATTGGGTGTTGGTGAAAAATAGACAAATAGTTCAACAGAAGAGATAAAGAGCCCAGAAACAGACCCACATAAATATAGTCAATTAATGTTTGATAAGGAAGCAAAGGTAACACAGTGGAGTAAAGACAGTCTTTTCAACAAATGGTGCTGGAACTATGGGGCATCTGCAGGCAGAAAAAAAAAATGAAGCTACACACAGATCTTACACCTTTCATACAAATTAACTGAAACTAGACCACAGATGTAAATGTAAAATGTAAACTTATAAAACTCTTAGAAGATAACACAGAAGAACATCTAGGTAACTTTGTGTTTGGCGATGACTTTTTAGATATAACACCAAAAGGCATGATCCATGAAAGAAATAATTGATCATCTGGACTTCATTAAAAATAATACATTAATATTCTGCAAAAGAAAATGTCAAGAGAATCAGAAGACAAGCCACAGACTGGGAAAAAATATTTGCAAAGGTATATCTGATAAAGAACAGTTATCCAGAATATAAAACTCAACAATAAGAAAACTAACAACCTGACTTAAAAAATGAGCCAAAGACCTTAAAAAACATCTCACTAAGGAAAAGATACAGATGGCAAATAAGCACATTAAAAGATACTCCACATCATATGTCATCAGAGAAATGCAAATTAAAATAACTACAAAATATCACTGCATACCTAGTAGAATGGCCAAAATCCAGAACACTGGAAACACAAAATACTGGTGAGGATGTGGAGGTACAGGAATTCACATTCATTATTGGTGGGAATGTAAAATGGTACAGACACTTTGGAAGACAGTTTGGAAATGTCTTACAAAACTAAACATACTCTTAAGATCCAGCAATCATACTCCCTGTCATTTACCCAAATGAGTTGAAAACTATGTCTACCCCAAACCCTGCATACAGATGTTTACAGAAGCTTTATTCATAATGGTCAAAACTTGGAATCAACAGATGAATGAATATATAAATTGCTCCATCCAGACAATGGAATATTACTCAGCACTAAAAAGAAATGAGCCATCAAGCCATGAAAAGACATAGAGGAATCTTTAAAGTGTATTTTAAGTAAAGTAAGCCAATATAAAAGGGCCACATAATCTGATTACAACTGCATGACTTTCTAGAAAAGGCTACACTATGGAGACAGTAAAAAGATAAGCGTTTGCCATGTGTTAAAGGGTGTGAAAGGCTGAGCAGAGAGGATTTTTAAGGCAGTTAAACTACTGTGTGTGATACTCTAATGATGGCTACATGTCATCAGACATCTGCCAAGGCCCACAGAATGTGCAGACTAGGGGTGAACTGCATTGTAAGCTCTGGACTTTGGGTGATAATAATGTATCTATGTAAATTCATCAAATTTAACAAATATGTGACTCTGAAAGATGTTGATAATGGGGGAAGATATGTATGTTTTGGGGGCACAAAGTATATGGGAAATCTCTGTACTGTCCTCTCAATTTTGCTCTGAGCCTAAAACTGCTCTAAAAATAATCTTTTAAAAAGTACTAATTCAGAGTAATGAATTTTCTAATTAGTTTCCTATAAGCAGGAAGTGCTTCAAAACATTTGTTTTTGAATTTTAATAAACAGTGACTGGAGTGTATGTGTCAGAATGAGTGCATGTGTAAGACAGGACAGAGTGATCTTTCAGTTTTTCTCTGAGTCAAATGATACTCAACATTGACATCTCAAAAAAATAAGATGAATTCTCAGCACAATGTATTATAAAGTTACTCTGTGCTCAGAACACATTATTTAAAAATAACACACTTTATTTTCAAATTGTAATCAATAGAATCTTTGTAACTAAAAAAATTCTCATCTTCAATAGAAGTATTTTTATCTCACTTTGTTGAAACTTTGTGTCAAACATCTAGAATGAATGTTGAATAAATATGATCTAATTATAAGAATGCAATTTAACTGTGCACAGAATAACACAATCCAAGAAACTGTCTCTAGGCTTAACAAGGAAATGGTAAATCTTTGTAGAGAGTATCTCAATAACAAAACAAAATGAAAACACTAGCCCAGTTCCAATTATAGTGTATGAAACAAACTATTTTTAACTCTGGGTTTGTTAACTACTTTCCTTTAGGACTTCTAGCTACTATATTCAATCGATCCCTTGAACTTACCCTTCCTATCCATGTCCGCTGATTTTACCCTACATTTTTATCAACTTATGAGTAAATTGGTCAAAAAGCCTAATTGGTCTTCACTCCTCTAGCACCTCTCCTTGCCAGTGCAGAGTCTGCAGGTACAAGATTTACTCTCTTAAATGCACACAGCTAACTGTGCTTAATGCAGGATAAAAGTGATTCTCTTCTCAGCCAGATACCAAGTAATTTTTCCAATTTTGTATCACAATGCTCCACAATATTCCACAAGTGTACTGTGTACTTAATCATTTCCTGCCCCAGTTTGCTCTAATGATGCCATAGCATTTCTTTGTTTGGTTGTCTCTTTCTCTCTTCCGACAATTGTTATTCTATTTTTAAGGTCTAGTTCAAATGTTAGACTTTTAAGACTTCTTTGTGAACCTCAGGGACAAATTCTACGCTCTTGACAACATGCCCCCGATCATTTGTTGGTGCCCTCGCCACCCGTGCATGCCTCTGTTACCCCCACAGAGCCCATGTATCCCTTTAAAGCAGTGATCAGTTCTTCTTCATTTTTGTATCTACAACATCTGACACACAGTAGGTTCAATAAATACACATTATTGCTTATCTTTGTGTTATGTATTTTACACACACACACAAATATGACTGAATTGGGCCTTTTGATCATTTGCCACTTTTTAATGAGCCTATTTCTTAGGTTTTTCTTCTGCATTTGAGTTAATAAAAGGGAAATGTTGGCTTAATTCATAAAAATAGCATCTGTAACTTCTCAGCCAGCCTTCTCTTATCTCCAGTAGGCCTCTTAACTACAGATGGATCTTAATTGCTCCTTAAATACATTTAACATTTATGTTTCCACAATATTGCCCACTAGCCATTTAGCACTTCTGTTGTTTTCTCATCCCAAATTCATCAACTCTACTACAAATTCTTACTACTCTTTAACACAGAAAAGCATAAAAATCAGTAGTTTGTTCATGAGTCGACATACATAAGTGCCAAGTTCAAATATTTGCCCTTTCAAGAAAAAGAATGAGCTAACAGAGTATAGCACGTGAACAAAATTCAAGTTGGTGAGCAGAGTAGCTAATATCAAATAATGGAAACGCATATCCAATGGGAGAGTTTACGGCGGCTCCTTCCTGTCTGGGGAAATGTTTAGTTATGTGTTCCACTGGGCCAAGGACAGACTGGTCCTTTCCAGACACTTACCCTCTGACAGCATGGATAAGTCTCAGTGACGGATAGGCAGTTCGCACTTTCAGTTTATTCTTGAGGATTAATGCATTAACCCATTCCACGTGCTTCTCTCCTCCTTTGACCATGAAAGCCGGGATCCAAAGGACGCTGTCATTCAGCATGGAAAGTCTGTGCACGAATTTTTCTCTGTCACTCTCATTCCGAAAGCCACCGAATGCTCTTTGTACAACGGATGGATTCATGGTAATAAAATCTGATTTAGTTCCCACATCTGCAGCAAACTCCACCACAGGGGCTAGATTACACCTGAAGAGGAAGAAATTAATGGACAAATGAGAAATAAATGTGAAACATTCACTCTTAAATGGTGTACATGAAAAGAAGAATGAGAACTGAGCATAGTTGTTTGTTTGTTTATTTACCCAGGTTGCTGAAAAAATGATCTGGTAAAATCACATCTTCAATACGTCACCATGCATCGGGAATATTGTCTTCAGGAAAGATGTGCGCTCCTAGTGCAGGGCTTAGGTTGTCATTTACAATAATCTGATATGTTGTCTAAGAATACTCTTTGCTGCTATAGTCATAAAACCACATGATATGAATTCCTAATAGGTGAATTTACGGTGGTAAATTTGGCTGTTGCCGTGCAGGAGGGAATCTAAACTACATGCTGTTCTATAAGTAAGTAAAACACATTAGACCTGATATTCCAATCTGCACCACTTGTCAAGCTAAAGTCATTTCAACAACTTTATAAAACATAAGTGAGTGACTATGGCTTTTCTGTATCCTGAGGTTAAGGGAAAACTGTAATTCCTTATAGCATTTTACATAAACAAATTTATAATTGCTTTCTAGGGGCCTAAACGGGAAATAAAAGTAAGAAAAATGGAGTTATCACATTTAATATGCCTTTTTGAAATGTTAAGTAATGCATAAAAGCCCTTACTTTTAGGGACAAATATCTTTCTGTTCTTCTGAGGACATCCTCAAAACGCTTGTTTAGCTGGCTCACAGGCCATGTGCCTTCTGGCGGGGAGGGGCAGATTGGTTGTCCTGTTCTCGCAACTGGGCCTGGGCCTGATTCTGTTTTTGTAAGCTGATTTCTTTCTTGTATTACAGGAAAGCTTTGGAAAGCATCTTGAACTTGGTCTTCAAGAAATGTGTGATGCTATTTTGATTCTGTCAAGTAGATCTTTGATGACTTAAAAAACAGTCTTTTATTTTAAAATATTTTAACTTGCTACAAAAGATAAATTTTAATTAATTGATTAGTAAAAATTAGATTTTTAGCAAACAAGATTTTCCTAATTTGGAAAAAAAATCATCTAAATCTATCCAATCTACACCGTCATGTAAACAAACACAAACACAAGCGCGCGCGCGAACGCGCGTACGCGCGCACACACACACACACACACACAGACTTTCTTCTTCCTTTCTTTTTCTTTCCTTGTACCAGCCTTTCGGGGGAAGGGAAAATAAACTGATTTCTTCTGTCTGCATTTTATAGATTTGACTACATTGTGAAAGTGTCTCATAATTCTCTTCCTTATGCATTTTTCCATATTCATTAAATGCTCAAACAAGATAAATTTAATTAAAAAGTAAAGTGTGTGCTCTGCTATTAAAAATACTGGCTTATGTGTCCTTCCTTGTCTCTTTTAAGTAATACATGTTATTCTTTTTAGATCTCTGAAAACATTTAGCTATCACAACAAGTATCTTTCATCTTATACAATTAAGCAAAGTCTATGTTATCCAAGATGAGCTACTTAAATAAAGCAAATAAAAAATTAACACATCATATTATTTAGAAATAATATTTTCAAGTTATGCATATTTAATTACGCCCACCATATCATTATGAGAGAGTATTTTTGTCTCTATCCATGATCCATGCACTATTTGACATTAGGTATTATTCATTCCCACCACCGTCAGAATATTATGAATGGGATTTCCTTGGAAAAGAACAGCTACCTGTGAGCAAAAGCCAAAGGGAACACATCTTACAGTAGAACTCATGGAAGACTGAGGACATGATAAACTTTGGAGTCCTAAACTATACTCCATACCAGCTTTGAAAGTAGGCTAAAATTCCAACCACGCAGGTTATAAGATGAAATTGGATACACTGTGGGGGTAATGGGTTCTGAACATCTTTATTACAGACACTTCTACTTCCTTAGATTAAAACATAGACAATACCGATTAATATCACAGTTAACATGTTCCTGTCAGGGGAGATAGCTTCAAATATATCTTTCTGTTATCAGCCATTCTTTTCAGAGGATTTCCACTATAGAAAAACAATATCTATACTTAATTTTCTCTATACTTATAAAAATTATCTGAGCCAACCCAGTTTAAGAGAACAAAAATAACATTCTACTGAATTACCTTTTCAGGAAAAAAAAATCAATTACTTTATACTTTTCATTACTTTTTCTTATCACATATTTAAAAGCTACTCCACCCCCAAGTTTGCCAACACCTACTCTTTTTGGATTGACTAAGCATGTTTCTGAAACATGATTGTCTGGCCATGTGGTATTTAAAGCTAAAAAGACATTCATCAATAAGGTTGGGTATTGAAAAACAGGTACTTTCCACCTTGGAAGCAAAAGGAAACTAACAGAAGAAGATTTCTGGAGAACAGGGTAGAAGACAAAACATAGTTGATGCAATCGAAGAATGCTAAATGACTGTGGTGCTGACTAAAGGGATCCACATCAAAGAGTAATTCATCCACTTGAGCTTTATTATAAAGTTTTTATGACCTAAGCATTGCCCAAACAGGCTTTCTGAGGGATGGAAACAGTGGTACTGAAAATAACATGACAGAAGGACACATAGTAAAATACGATCTGTGCTGGCTCCAGGAGCCTGGCTGGTTCATTTTCCTTGGAGGGACTATGTCTAATTTTTCATTGGAAGGAAAGATTAACACCATGTCCACATGTGGCCAGTAAATTAACTACTCTGTGGTTGAGACAGATATTTAGTCATATAATTAGCTGAATACCACATAATCAGGGCAAGCAACAAGAAGGCCAAAATAAGCAACCAGCTGTGTTGTGCTCCAGCAATTCCGTAGACTTGTTGTGAACCTCATAGCCATAGGAGTAGCAACACTGCTGACTGAGCAAGATTATGAATAGATCTCCAGTCACATGCACTTAATCTTCCTTTCTTTAAATCTTCTTAGGGATCACAATATTCAAAAGTAGTCAGAATGTATAGCAAACATTTATGAAGTAAAACATTATTTTAGATGTTATTCTTAATCTCATAAAATTGAAGAGTGGACAATTTTTAAATGCTGGACTTTGTGAGTCAAAACTACTGAGTGCATAAGAATATTTAATATACTTAAGCTCTACGTCTTTGGCCAAATTAACTTCTTTTTACTGTCCGACTAGTTTTGACATAATAAAAACCTGAAGACATACACTGAATTAGGCATGTTGGCCAAATTGCCTGTTTACTCTAAACTGCCCAATTTTCAATTTATTTGTGCTTATTTTCCATCATTGCTGAAAAACCTGATGAAATGCAGCCAGGTCCTCCTGTTCTCTAGATCTCTGAAGTTTCTGCTGTGATCTCACACTGGATGTTATTGCCTTCAATATTCCTTTTATGCAGAATTGAAGGTACTTTCCTTTATTTCAAGGCTATCTAGTTTTTTAATATTCATTTTAATATTAATTCATTTAATTTTTAAGGAAAGCAACACTTATTTCATGTATAACATCTCAAGATCACAGAATTCCCTAGGAAGACATATCTCTTGGACTTGTCCATATTCCCTGCATTTCTCTTATGTTATAGTTCAACAGTTTAAGCAACTAAGAGGTCCCTCCCTCAATAGCTCAACAGTTCTCTTGAGAGTTCATTTTGAAAATACTACACCATATGCTCAGAACTCTTTTCCCAGCTATCTTTTTTTTTATAGTAATTTTTTACAATTATGTAATCTGCCAAAATACAATCTTTTCAGTTATTATTAGTAATATCAATAAGATAACGTTCATTCATTTAGCCACATCTTTAATCATTCCATGGTGCACCTTAAACATCTGTGCTACCTACAGGACTAGTTACCCACTATACTGAGTAAAACAGAGTGTACTGTGATATAGGAGGTTGTTAATTATTTCTTTACACATATGACATAGATTAAGTGAGAAGAAAACAAAACTGAGTGTATTAAAGGATAAATTATATTCTTTCTCACTACTAGTTGTTAATGTGCAGGCATGTTCCAAACACATGATTAGCATCCTTTTTGTCCTTTGGCCAACCCCACTGTGTGTTTGTAGCAGCCCTGAAACCCCGTAGCCTAAACCACTGTCGCCAATGGAGCTCCATTTGTCAACCAACCATGAAAAGGGACCTAGCCTCTTCTCTTTTCTACCCCAGAGGAAGCTTATGGTTCGCACCTATTCTCATCTTACTTTTGTACTTGAAGGGCCAAGAGAACAAATAATCTCTGATAGCTGGGTGTTTTAAGTTTTGCGGTTACCCTCTCAAAATTGCTGGGGGAAGCTGAAACATGCAGTCAGTCTTTCTGACTTCCTTGAGGTGAGGAAAGCAGGTACCAAACAGGCCTGAAACCAACCATGTTCGCATTACTTTGAAGTGAGGAGTAACTAAGGTCACAAAGTGGTTAAGAAATACGTCCTATGCCCTAGCTGGTTTGGCTCGGTGGTTAGAGCAGTGACCCACAGATTGAAAGGTTTCGGATTCAATTCTGGCTAAGGGCACACACCTCAGTCACGGGATTAATCCCTGACTCTGGTAGGGGCGAGTGCAAGAGGGAACCAATCGATGTGTCTCTCTCACATCAATATTTCTCACTCTCTCCCTTCTACTCTCTCTGAAAAACAATGGAAAAAATATCCTTGGGTGAGAATTAAAACAAAAAAAGAAATATGTCCTAGGCCATAGTGCATATAAAAGAAAAGCACAGCTACTTTAGAATAACTCCAGGACAGAAGTTTTAAATGACATTATTTTTACATGTGATCTCTTTCAGCATCAGAGGAAATGTTTACATGTTCATCATTCACCCCAGCTTCCTGTAGGAGAAACAGTATTTTACCATTTGGTCTCAGGTTATAGTCTCAGACTCCCAGGATGGAAGAATATTATATAAAGCAACTCAACCATAACACTCCCCAAATCCTAAGCAGTTATTAAACAAAGGGCTTTAGGTATATTAAATATGAAAATAATATTCATACTTCAGACCTCTTGAGGGAAAAGATTTTCAAAATGCTGGTAAAAGGATTAACTAA